ATTCCTGCTTTGTGTAACAAAACCTCTGGCTGACCTACGGCAAATATCTATTAAATAACAAAAGGTACTCGGCTCTGTCGGCACAACACGGGCCATTTGCATATAGCCCTTATGTCAACAGCTCAGGCACTGCTGATATGGATCACTTTATGCATGCAGGCTGGAAAAAAACAAGCTAGCCATGAAAGTACAGTCAGGCAGCACTTAACTCATCTCAGGAAGACAGGCACCTGGATTTAGATAGCCACAAGACAGACCAAGATCCTTGAGCTCACACGTGCTAGCCCACGGCACGGGCAGATTGAGGTGGGAAGAGGCCTCCCGGGGGTCTCCATGCAGCCCCCTGCTCCAGGCAGCGCAACCTCTCAGCTGTGTGAGGATGCTCAGGGCCTTGGCCAGACGGGAGATCTCCAGGGTGAATGGGATCAAGCCATGCATGGCCCAGCGTGATGCCCCTTCCTAATCTGGGTTGCAGCTAGACACCACCCTGGAGCCAGGCCCAAAGCACCCTGAAATAGCATTTTCATGATGCTGAGCCTGCTGAGCCTGCAGGAAGGCACAGAGACAGACCCCAGGCTTGTAACTGGCAGGCCCTCCTTTCCAAGCCTCAGCTGCTTTGCAAAACACCATCAGATGACTACTTTTTGCTTCTGCTGTGGGAGTTTCTTGGAAATAAGCCTTGTGCAGTTTGCACCTTTCCCGCCTTGTCTTTCCTCTCTCCTGCATGAGGAAGGACAAACAAACAGTCAGCTATTTGTAACGGGACCATCCACGGTGGACTGGTGGCTGCAGTGATGATCTCTGCTCCTTGAATCTGCCACACTACTGGAGCTGTCACCATCCAGCAACACATGCTGTAACACAGGCGAACGCCAGCCAACGCAGACAGGAACCAGGGATTGCAGGTTGTACCTCAGCTGCGGAGCCACAGCAGGGAAACACAAGCTCTACAGACTTGCATGCCATAAGGAAAGGTCAGCTGCATAAAGAGGGAGAAGGGGAGACGAGATTTCGCCTCCAAATTCAGCTACTTGGACTCGCTTTGCTGTTGTGATGTTAACATGTCACACTGGGTGGGGAAATACTGCAGCTGGAGATCCGTCAAATGTCAGCCACGACAGATAGGGCACGAAGAGTTTTTAAGCATCACTGTACTTCACCTTCCCACCCTCAGCTCCCAAATGGCTCCCCCAGGCACTTGCCCTTAGCAAAGGCAAGGAGAACCAAGGTGATCCGGCACGCTCTAGCCCAGGCCACCCTGCACCAAAAATGGAAGCTCTTCTTCCAAAC